CAGTCATAATGGAGCTCATCTTTTATATTCTGGAAAACATCTCATAAGAGGACTTCATTTTCTGTTCAGACCTGTTCCAGCAGCAGTTGTATCTGAATCATTTGCACTTTAAAACTGGAAAATTAAGCTTTTGTTAACACTATGGGGGGTGGGGGGGAGGGAGGCGGGAGGGACAGTTGTTCCATAATTCTAAATCTTCTATGCATTGTCAACAACCAGAGGATCAGGGCAGCTTCTATACTACAACATGGCTATGCTATCCTTGCAGCTAATACACTTCTGTTACTGTTTAGACAAACGCTCATGTTTAAAGACTTAACAGTCCTGTACTCTAAATGCTCAAACGGGTGCAAAGATCACGGGGGCGTAAATAAAAAGTGAAACTCCAATCTTGTACTGTTTGTAGATGGACCGTGTGAGAACCGACGCTCGAGCCCTCCACTGACCTCATCACAATGCCCTCGGTGGTTATTCTGTAGACATTAAAAAGTAACGTTTACATTATTTTGACCAGATTATTGGTTGAAATGCGCTTGGAGTAGCCCTTGAGAGCTATGGAGAGATTCCCTAGCCATAACTGCACTGGTGTTTGTGGCCAGCCGAGGCGAGGGCAGGCGCTGCTCTGAGCTGCAGTTCTGTGTGTGCATAGTAGGCTAGTTTCTTTTTTTTCCTTTATTTACTGTAAAACCCTCTCACCTCGGCAGATCTCTGTACTCTCCTAGAAAAAAAACAACTCTGCTATTCTGTACTTTGTTTACAAATGCGTATGAAGCAGAGGAAATATTAGCCCTCAAGTGCAGTTCTATCTCATCCCTCTTCCCCGGTAGGTCCTGCTTTTTAGGGAAAAGTGACACCCAGGGCAGCTTTAGTCTCCTCCTCGCTGCGCGCTGTAGTGTGCCGCTCGTGTCGTGTAGTACAAGGCAGCTTGCACTCGTATTAGCAGCACCCTGTCAAAGCTTACCTGTGATAAAAGTATAGAGTGGCTGTTCTTGCATGTTCTGCTGAAAAAGGCTTTCTGGTCAGCTCTGAACACTAGCACTTGGCCCAGTGCTCTTGGTCTCACCCGAGAGGGCTTTAGTGAGGAAAGCAGCTGTTGGCATCTGCCAGGCTGTTGTGAGGCTGGAATGGAGAACTGGTCAGGGGAAAGGTGGTTCCACATTCTTGTCTCTGTGGACAGCTGCTAACCAGGGGAAAGTGCTGGAGGCAGAAGGGGTTTGGTTTGCTTGGCCATAGCTGTGCAAATCACCTGCCTTGAGTCCTTCCCAGGAAGGGGGGCAAAGGTTTCTCTTCCCATCTATAGAGAAAATCAGTTTGGGAAGAGAGGGGCTAATGCACAGTGAACACAGCAGCTCAGACCTCGCCTCCCCCTACTCACACGCAGCTCTGGTGGACGCAGGGGGGCTGATTTTGGTTTTGCTGCAACACAGGCATCCTTTCAAACAGAAAGGGAAGCATGAGGCTACTGTGAGACCAAGGCTGTATTTTTAACAAACACCCAGCACTAGCTGGGCAAAGGCAAGGGCAACTGTACCCGTGGTGACACATTTTATGTGAGGACAGCACAGTGTATGTACAGAGCGCATTTGTGAATAAATGGCCACTGCTTTTTTTAAAAAAGCAAAGCCTGACAAATCCAGTGTCTGTCCCCACCCAGCACGGGGAGAAGGCAGGCCACAGAACTGGGACCCAGGGCCAGAAATGAAGGCTGGCCAGCGAGAGGTAGCACACACCTGAAGGGAGGTGTGCCAGCCCAGTGAAACCCTTACCTCTGGCATTTGTGGGGAGGTGGCTGGCTCTCAGCCCTGAAGCCGTGGCAGTCACTGGCCCCCGCTGCACTGGCGCAGGGGAGCGGGACTGGGGCTCCTTTCAGGCCCCCTCTGCACGCTGCTCTCACACGTGGTGCGGGAGACTCGGTATCTGAAGAGCATTCCACAGACTAGTAACAATCCTCCTCGTAGAGCCTGCACTCCTGCTTTGCCCCAGCAGCAGCTTCCCCCTTACCTTAGTTGCATAGTTAATGCTGCTTAATGCAGTAAGAGAGGTGAAAAAAAACAATCTTTATCTTCCTTTGCCCCAGAAGTCTTTCTTTTAGGTTTGGGTTATGTTTGTGCAAAACACTATCAACAGGTGACTGACAAGTTTGCTTCAACCATAGCCTTTTAAATGACCTTAATTACCATGTTGTTAAGAAATGAGTACTTGTTTTAGAAAAAAAAAAAATTGTACTTTTAAAATTCAGTTAGTTAACACTGCAAAAAAACTGCATATTATATTTTTATTTTCAACATGTAGTTTTGTATATTAAATTTATTGAAATTAAAAACTAAACACTGTATTGTCTTCATCTGTGCAGAAGACAGAGGCAGCACTGCCTCACTTGTCTGGAATCCTCTCTGTCTAAAGCTGGGGGGTGCAGGAGTGCTCCCACCCCATGCAGACCTCCCCTCCCCCCCGAGATCAGTCCCCCCTCAGCTCACAGAGGTTGTAAGGACACAAACACATTTGGTACCATGCTTGTATGCTGCTCATCAAAAGCATTCCTGAAAATAGTCACCATCCCATTCTCTACATTTCCCCATCACCTGGAAGAACTGTAAAAGCCTAGTCCTGTAAAAACACAAGGAACGTTTGGGAAGCAGCAGAGTCTAGCATACTTTTTTTCCTCCTTTTTTAAATTAAAACCAAAGGCAGGCCAAGGCTGAAGGCACCGTGCAGGGGCCCTGCTGAGCACAGCACAGACTGCGAGCGCCTGCTGCCCAGAGCCCTGTGCTCCCCCCTCCTGCCAGGCAGCACCCTTTCCACCTACCTCCTGTTGCAATGGCATGCACAGGAGGGACACGCTGCTGCCACACTGCTGCCCGTGTGCTCTCTCCTCTATTTTAGGAATAAACAACAACAAAAAAAAAACCCAAAACCCAAACAGACCCTGACAGAAGAGAACAGACAAAGCAGTAGCAGACTGTGCACTGTGCCACGCTGGCTGCTCGTACACGTGAGGGAATAAATGAATTCCAGTAAAGGTCTTACCTGGGACTTAACTGAAAAGTTTTTGCACTGCCTCAGGGAGTTTTTAAGGAGCTAAACTTTTCACACACCACTATGCATAGTTAATGTAACATTCGTCCTGGTGCTTCGTTAGCAGTCCCACATTAAGGCAATTCTGTCTATTTTGTGTAGGCTTCCAACAGTCCCCTGCAGCAGCAAATTTCCCCAGCCTTACATATGCCTTAAAGTTATTAATAAGCACTATGGCTGTTATCAAAATAGACATTAGGTTCAGTAGTGCATTCATTTAACATCTTTGGTGCTTGCAGCATCTTTCTACATACAGTCATCCCACTTCTTTTAACATTCCAATGGATCTGAGGAAAAAAAAAGGCAACAAAACCCAGTATTACTTGATGCATCACTTAATAGATGTTTACAATTCAAGGTCACATTATATGTGAAGTGCTGACATGAATTTTCTGGATGGTCAACTAGAAAAATCAATGGAGCAAAATTTTTGTGATTGAACATGGTGAAGTGTCCAGTCACAGCAGAGGGCCAGGTTGTTACTTCAGACACAACCATCAAACGTGTCCCTCAGCCTACCTGTGCAGCTCACAGGCAGCACACTGAGCCCCCCAGCTGTGAGGAAGAAGTCAACAGACAGACAGTCCCTCAGGGGCTACAAATCCAGCCTGGTGTATTGAAACAAGGCCTTTCAGTCTGTCAAATCTGCCACAGCTGGGAAGCAGAGGTGTGGGAAGCAGGTGATGGCGCCCTGAAGCTGGTGAATAGCAGCTTAACTGCCACTTACAAATGCAAAGCAAAACAATCTGCTGAGGAGGAGGGAGCACGGAGGCTTCAGGAGCTCAAGGGATCACTTATTAAACACTCTGTATTTATACATCATCTCTTTTCCACCAGAAAAGGTGAAGGGTTTGTTCCTAGCCCCTACAGGAAGGTCCTGGTCCCAGAGGAGGGCTGTGTGCTGCCACAGCAGAGTAAATACCTGCTCAGAAGGGACCAGCACAGTCACACCCCTGCAGTGACACCCTGTGACCATGGGCAACACCTCACACCCCCCAAAGGCAGAACTGACTGTCCCTGGTGAGGGCCCCTCCTGCCTGGCCTCAGGAACATACATGTTTCATGGCATTGGTGACTGTGTCCAACTAATCTGCACTTCCTTCCAACATCAGGCACAGATAAAGCTAGGCTGAAACAGAGATTCCACAGGCAGGTGGATTTCTAGTACTCATCTTTCAGTAACTTCACACAGAAAATCACTTTTAAAAAAGACATCAAAATCATTTGTTCTTTTTAAGAAGTGAGAATTTGTGATCCCTAAAAAGCAGAGTACAAGGAAGGAAGACAAGCTCCATAATCAACCCATTTCCACAGAGGCTGGCAAGCAGGGGAAGCCCACCTCCTTTTCCTCCTAACACACAGCCATTTGGGCAGCACACAGCTCCTCTTCCCCACTTAGTATGAGCACAGCAGGCACCAGGCACAGATGCCTGGGCAGCCTGCATTCAGCCGTACAGCTGCCCAGAAGACTCAAGTACCCAGCAGCAAGCCTGTCTCCAATAGCTCCTCCTTCAAATGAAGTCAAGCAGACTTCCATGGGACAAATCAGTGTCCTCTAGCTTCTGGTAGGGGAGGAAGGGTCCTTGCCAACTCTGAAAAGCTTATTGCTAACAATAGGGATGGACATAAAGCACCCCCCACCCCCAGAAAGGACCCATCAGTCTTATCTTCTAGACAAAGGTGATGCTGGAAAAGCTCCCTGTATTTCAAGTGACTGTAGAACAGCACCTCAGATCCACAAGCTAATCAGAGATTCTGTAACCTCATTTCTGAAATTGTGTCAACTCACCACTACAAATATAAAGATGAATGGTACCAAAGCCAGTGTAATTAGGTCAATGTCAACAAAAGACATTATTCAAGCAGAGTTTATCTGTGTCCCTGTCAAGTTCTGGCCAGACCATCTTTACATGCAGTATTCATACCTCAGATAGAACTAGTGTTCAAGGACCAGCCAATTTTCTGTAATTGTTTGAAGATCTTGACCACTGAGAGGCTCCCTGAGTCTCACTTTTACCTCCAGTTTCCCTCCAGTGGGCTTTCTGCCATCAAAAATCTGAAAAAGCCACAAAAAGAAGATCAGTTACCACACATACAAATGATAAACCACAGTGCCTCAGGCAACCACTGCTTTTATTTCCCCATGACCAGAAGATGACAGAGGTCACCTGCAGGTGCCTACAACGTGCCGGGACCTGCCCCAGGCGTGTGCTTCCCTGGATCTGTGGCCCAGCAGAGGTTCCCCCACAGCCCGTGCAGGGGCAGCTGTACTGGTGCCTGTGCTGCCTCTGCCTGCTGCCCACCCAGCCCCCCGAGCACAGAGGGGCTCCAGGGGCAGCCGTGTCCTGAGGGAGCCTGCCAGGCAGCCTGAGGGGTTATCTGGGTTTCCAGGGTTCCACACAGTGATATCCTAGTGGATCTCATCCACTCTGGCAGTCTTCACTTAACCCTTTGATCTGTCAGCTACCAGCACAAATCATTTTGGGAATCACCACAGAAAAATCTGCAGGAGAGTCCCTAGAAAGTTCCCAGGAGTAGGACTGTCACAGCTAAGACAAGCTTCAAGAGATGATAAACCAAAGAACAGCCCCTTGTTTACTGGGCTCATCCAGCACAGTCACCTGTATACACACACACATTTACACACTGCAGATAGTCCTTTGCCATCTGTGCTCAGACATGACTTACTGGGGGAACACAGCCCCCCCAGGAAACGTACCTCGATGATCTCTCTAACTTCACATTCCGATTCCAGCTTTTCCAGTTTCAAGTGTGCTGTCCCCACCTGCTTGTCACTTCTGAAAAAGGACCTGTTCCAAAGGAACCTTCATGAATCAAACGGGTAGGGCTTCTCAGAACATCAGAGAGAGCAGTCCAAGAGGTCATCACTGCCTGCCCCATCACCCTACAAACCAGGCTGCAAGGGGCAAACTTGTGAAGTCCACTACAAGGACAAGACACAGAAGTAATTTAAAAAAACTATTCTCTTGCAACCAAATTAAAGATGAGGGCAGTAGTGAGGGCAAACAATCTACTAAACTAGTGCCTGGGATGGCAGCAGCTTTGCCCCAGCACAGGGCTGGGGAGTCAGGACAGACAGCAACCTCCTGCAGTGTGCTCTGCAACAGAACGGGCTCAAACACTTCCCAAGGAAGCTGCTTCTCCCCTCAAAACAAACATTTCACAGGCACATGCTGGTTTTGGCAAACTGCTTATTAGGAAAAAGTCACATGAATCATCCTGTTTCACTTTGACAAACCAAAACACTCTGTTTTAACAAGTAAGAGCAGTTCGTAGCAGCTATTGCCTTGATTCACCTCCACACTGGTTGTTTGAACAGTCAAGAAAGATCATTCTACAATCTTCAGTCTGGTGAAGTTAAACACAGAAAACTTTTCTCTGCTACAGTCACTTCTGTTTAAAAGTTTCATCAGCAAGAGATCCACCTTCACCTCAACAGAAGGGTTGGGCAATCTTTACCCAACCTCCCCCAAAAGGCAACAGCTGAGACTAAACCACATTAATTCCATGTGGAAGCATTCAACTCAAAGCACTGGATTTATTTGCCTGCATCCAAGCATCTCCCCAAATCAGTCCCCAAAAGGTTTGATACATAACTAACATCTAGAGATTCTGCAGGAAATCTGCTGAGAATTCAGAAGCCTCCTTTTCTTATGCCATTCTATTTAGGAAAAAAACAAGCAAGCAAACCAACAAACATAAAAAAAACCAATCCCAAAACATCCACCCTGCTTCCTAGTATCACTAAGAAATATTGATACCATCAAGTGAGACTGGATGTACTCTGAAGGGGATTATGTGGAGCCTCTTGCCATCAGTGGCAACAGGAAGCAGTAGTTAGTGCACGGACCTGCTGCTGCCACCAGTGCCCAGTCTCCAGGGGAACTCTGGGAACCCCACTGCCTAAAATCTCTGGAAAAGGAACAAGGCTGATGCCTCATCCCTACCACCTCAGTGACTGCTTCACCCGTGTGTTCTCCAAAGAGCTGCTCTCAGCTGCAGTGCAGGGAACCTGGCACCCAGCCTGGCACCCCCCTCCCTGCCTGGCTGCTCCTGCAGCTCCTGTCCCACAGGTGAGGGGGACGATGGTCTGGCTGCAGAGAGCCCAGGGCAGGGGCTCGGGCACTGCCGGGTGAGCACTCAGAGGCTGACAGTGCTGCTCCCAAACCTGCTGCCTGTTGAACTCCCTGGACAGAAAGCCTTCCAGAGCTGAGGCTGTACTCTCCTTCAATGAGACTACAGTAGACTCACAAAATCATTAAGAAAAGTTTGGAATTCATTAGCTTACATGCTAGAATACTTCCTTCACAAACACCTTAAAGTGAAGAGGGATTGCATAATCATACTGCAGTATCCTGGACACTTTGTTCATAAACTTAAAAAGAGGATCAGCAATTCTTCTTGCTTAATTTTTTTAAAGCCTTTTTCCATTTTATAATTCAAGAAGCAGTAAAGATTGGTTCATCCCTCATCAGTTGGGGTTTGCAGTGAAGAATGTGAACCTGCTCTAGGCCATGGCTTCAGAAACAGCTCTGGGGACATCTCCTTTTATCTTCAGAAGCTTTTAGGAGAGGTTTAAGGAGAGACTTTTCCTTTGGAAAAATAGATTGCTGAGTATTTACTTGAAAGTGTTCTTTAAACTGAAGTTTAATATATATGGCCTGAAACAAGTCTCCTTTGCTCACTGAAAGGAAATCTTGGGAGATGGCCAAAGCGCTAAACTACCCTAAAACTACATCATCTACAAACACTATAAAATGAATAATACTTTCAGAAGTCTCAAAGAAAGACAGGGAGCAGACAGTCTTTAGAAAAAAGAGCCTGGATCACTTAACCCTCTCCTTTCCCCTGAGAAGGTGCCCAGGGGAAGGTGACCAGCGGGTCACTCTTTCTCTCCTTCCCTGTTGCTATATGCCCTGGGGAACAGGGTGCCCTCCACCACAACCCAGAAACAAGAACAGATTTAACTTCTTGGATTCCTCTTCTAAGAACAAAAAATAAATAAATCTTAGAACCAGAAGTGAGACAACCCACACAGATTCTTTGATGATCTTTGAAAAGGCTTCAAAGGACAGTCTGGAACTGGCATAAAACTCAGGAATCACTGGAGAGAATTTCCCAATGGGTGAACTGAAGCCTGAGCTCAGCACTTAAAAACAAGCACAGTTCCAGCTGGGAAGGGAACAGGATATGCCCCATATGCACAGCAGTACGCAGAAGGAAGGGGAAAATGTTTTAAACAAGTGTAAATACTTCACAGTTCTATGCAAGAGAGGCAGGATCTCTAATGGTGAAACCTTTAACAAGTGGAGCAGTCGGGACTGACAAAAATTACTCAGTAAGAGAATCAGCTTTTGCTTCAACATAGATGCAAATGGAAGACCTGGAGTAAAAACAATGGGACTTTAGCTCACGAATAACATCTACAACTTGAAAACTATCTTGGAGAACCTATGGATCATTTCTGCATGTCCCAGTAATAGAAAGAAAGAAACAACTTCCCTGAACGTTGCCGATTGTTAACATCCATCCCATCATCTTGATCTCTGAGATGAGGGACTGTCTCTCAAGACAGTCTAAGTGTGCTAGCAGTGTTCAGTAAATCTTGTGAGATCCTCAGAACAAAGCTAAGTACAGAAATGTAACACTAGTTCTGCCATCATCTGTTTTACCGCCGTTAATGTTTGGCTGACACTTGTCCATTATTCAACAAAGTTAACCCATAGAGCACTTAAATCTTCTATTCCTGATGACTAAAGCCAAACTGGGTAAGAATCAAAGCAATCTGAAGTGGAGTCATTAAATTCTGAATCTCATCAGTTCCTCTTAATGCACTAACCCTCAGCTGATCTGCCAGCTACAAATCAACTTCACTCAACTCCTGCCTTTTTATCACCCCCACAGGAGAAGATACAGAGCTCAGCCACATTTTGAAAGACACCCTCAAACCTGAGAACTAGACAACTCTTTATTCCTAGCTTAAGAATTTGTGCCTCAAAAATTTCAGCTATAATATTCTTTCCAACAGTTACTAGAGAAGCAATGAGGGGGGAGCAAACTCTGGACTTACCCTTTATGGAACACTTCGAATTTAATTCCTTTGGACCGAATGGCTCGTCGGAAGCCTCTGTGATTTCGGTTGATGTTCAACTTAAACAACTGGTTATACTCTACAGTCAAGATAAACAAAAATGAAAGGAAGCTGTGAAGGGCAAACAATGTGCAGTCCCCTATTACATGCACGTGCTCAGACCTCTGTCTACCCCAGTTTGGCCCACTTGTGAAAGGCACTTCACAGCCATAGGAAACGCCGTCTCGGGGGGTTATGCAGTCATTGAGGGGTTAGTGTCCCTGTGCAACAGCTCATCTCTGTCACCCCACTTTGCAGGGACAGAAACCAAACTGCAGAAAACCCATCATGAGGAGGTGACACCAAGTTACTGGAGAGCCACAACTGGAGAATCTAAGTCTTTCTGCCATGAAACAGTGTCTGTGGCTAAGAAAAAGGTACAGTGAGGAAAAAGCACAGGAGGGTTGGAATGACTGGGAGGGGGTGATTTGATAATGTAATTAATACTGTTTTAACACCAGTTTCACTAATGAGCATGACAAGAACTATGCCACAGGATCCCTTTTTATCAGAATGTCGCTCAACATCATACAACTAATGTTCAAAGACTTGATCTGCTGTGCTACCCAGGGCAGTCACCTCTGCTTGGCAGCCTGGGATCCCAAACCACTAAAGCTCAGCAGCTGCTCAGAAGTGCAGATCAAGTTACTGAAAGACTTGGAACATAGTTCTTAGTATCAGGGCTTCAGAACGTTCACTCTTAACAGAAGATGTCTATAAACTCCACAGACATATTTTTCTCTCTCTGAGATGAATTCACAACCAGCAATTTAGATACTTAATTCAGAGTTGGTTTGACACTAGATGGCTGCTTACTGCATGAATTGAAAAAAATAATATAGCAATAAACTCAACTCAGAGTGCAAGATGATTAATTCTAAAATGCATAATGGGTCTAATACTGGTATTCAGTGGCTAGGTACAAAGGGGTGTTTTTCAAAAGGTACAAAGAAAGTATTTTAGCCAGTTTCAAGACACACAAAAAAATATTCCAGCAATGATGCTTGGTCAGGTTTAGACATGTTAGCTGATTAGCAAAAATTGTGACAGGAATGGCAATCTCACAGGACACAAAATCTGACTGAAAAAGATCTGATCCATCGAGATGTTAAAAATTAGTAACTTAACTTATTTAATAAAGAAAATTTCTTTATCTGGCCCATCTCCCAGCAGGGCTGATGGCAACAGCTGGAGCACGACTGGTAACTCCAGGATTTCACTCATCAGTAACACAGGAACTGCCACCAGTATTGGGATAAGGGTGAAGGAACTGCCAGCACAGCTGGACTCCACCCTCCAACAAGCCCTTTCATAAGAAAGAAGAAAAAAAAAAGTGGTGGGAGGCCCTCTGGCCTGATTCACAGTACGAGACTGGCCGGTGCTCTCCCATGGTTCCTAAAGTGCAGGGTTTTTTCCCCTCTGTCCCAGAAGAAGTACTAACCTGGAGAATTGTTATTGTTAATTACAGGTGTTTTACTCTTTTGAGGTTGCTCCTATTAAAAGAGACACACATTACATAAAACCATCAGATAGTGTTTAAAAATACAGAGTAGTAACTATTTTTATACCTACACAAGAAACATGAGGCTTGATGGGGTTACCTGAATCATAAGAAGACTCACGGCACATTCAGGACTAAAATATTTGGATTTCATTGTGGTAACAAGCATAATACTAGATAAAAAATAAGCCAAAACATTACATTACATATAAAAGCCACAGATAAGTGACGTGGTCACACTCAATTCCATCCAATCATCATAGAGTTACTGACTGTGGCTGTTCAACTCCATGATAAACTGTGCACACTCCCCGACACAGCAATTCTGTTCCTTCTGCATTAGCTGGAATAACCAGCTACACAAGGAATTCATCACAAATCATTCAGGGAATTGCCCTACTATTATTTTGCCTGACAATCAATCTGCCACCAAAATGAATTAACTTTTAACCTAAAGCAGAGTACAAACTAAATCTCTGGGGACGGAACAAGGACAACGTGACCCAATTATTGCAGCTGCTTTGCAGAACTGAGTTCAGCTATGAAGGAGAAAGGTGGTGTGTTTGGCTGGTGGCTAAGCAGGAGAGATCTGTTTTTTTAAAAAAAAACAAAAATAGATTGAAAGCAACTATGCTGACTCTTACTGATTCTCCAGAAAATTATTCATACAGGCCAGTTCTGTTTCCAGCCACCCTAATGGAAGGGACGACTCCACTAAGGCCTCACGTAACTCAAACCTAAGCAACAAACCTGATCTGACCATCACTGATTTCCCACAGGTAACTGAACCCATTTTAGTGGAACTGCTGCAAAATTTATTAGGAGGTAAAAAATCTAGGCTCTGCACTCACAGGGCTAAGCGTGAGTCCTACCTGTAAGAGCAAAGATTGGGTTTGCCCTACAGAGAAAGCAGCAGAAACCCCAGCACATCTGCTGACAGCAGGACTAGCCAGCCCCTCCTAGAAGCCCTCCTAGCTCAATGGTTTCCGTATTTTTCAGACCAGAGACTGCTTTGAAAGGTGAGTGGAGCAGTGTCACACTGGGGAGTTTCAAGGAAAAAAATAACAGATACATATGTATACATATTTTTTACATACATACACATATACATGCACATATATACATGCACATACACATAAGTATTAATTAGTAAGGTCAAGAAATTTATATGGCCTAAGTCCCTTCTCCTGCCATGGACACATATTTGCTAAGTGCAAGCTGTGGGGAACCATCAAGGGAAATGTGCAGCAAAGCTCATATCTGCAGGAAACTGATTCAACACTTTTGAGAAGTTTCTGTTTTAAGAATGAATTCAGGCCGTATGCCTACAAGTGTCTTCCCTTTCTAGAAGGAAACCTCTACATCCCCCCTGCAGCCCTCCCAAGCTAACAGAGAGGCCAGGGGGACAGACTGAAGGGCCAAGGCGCCAGGGCCCACACTCACCGCGCTCGGGTACTGGAACTCAAACTTCACAAATGCATCCAGATCTTTGGGGGACACACCTGAAAGAGACAACACTCGGCCAGTCCCAGCAGCCAGTACAGAGATTTTCACTGTACCTGTAACGTTGAGCACTATTTTCAAGAGCACCTGATTTTCAGTAGGACTCATGACCTGACGCTTGACAACTGAAAAACCCACCCAGCAGACCAAGCTGCACAGAGAGCTGGCACCCCAAGGAAGAGATCTACTGTTCTTAATGCTGCTGTTAGTCCTGAGGCAGTCCAGCACGGAGGGTTTACAACCTCCCACAAACAAGGGTATGAAAGCAGTTACACTGGTAGGAGACGAGCAGCTCCTGTCTGCTGAAGGGTCAATACACATTAAGGTGGTGCAGAGTTAAGGCAGGCATTCATAAGAAAATAGGAGGTAAACAGGAAACTTAAACTATGACCCAGTTATGAGCAAACCCAAGACAATTTAAAGTTCTTCCCTCTGTCAAGAAGGAACCCAGATTCTCTTTATTCTTCTGGGTTCTTTTTGTTTGTTTGTTTTTTAAATACTGTATAAAGGCTTTTGAGGGCCTGAAACTTGGTTGTTTTGTTTTAATGAGTGCTGGCTACACAGGTCTTGACTCCTGAAGTGGTCTTCAAGGTAGAAAAATCTCACTCCCCACTACTTTCCTCACCTCCTCAGAGGGAAAGGCCCACATGCCCTTTGGAGTACATACCTGGCGGAGCTGGTAGGTTTATCCCCCTGACAATAAGAAGGTGCATTTCTGTGCTGTTGAGCTCAGAAAATATCCTGTGAAAAAATAAAGACCAAAAACCATATTTATCCCAGTAGCCTACTGCCACTTGATCCACTGCCAGACCAGGACTGCTGAGTGACTTTTCAGGAATGCTGAGCCAAACCGTAGGTGCCATCTGAGTTTACTGAAACCCACAACCCCCTAAAACAAGAGCTAGAAACCAGAAAAATTCCAGCCTGCCTGAGAAATCCCCTTTTTTTTTTTTTTTTTTTCTCCACACCTTATCATTTTAAAGGTTCTTTCCTCAAAGTGATGGCTTGGAGGATCCATTCCTTGTGCTCGTGCAAGCTGCAGGATTTCCATGTCCTTTTTACAACCTTGTGCCAGTTTCTCAAACCTATAGAAAAAGCAAACAAACAATAGAAAAGCTACACACTGGAACACCAAACAGCATTCTGACAGATACAGGCCACAGAGTGACCCTCAGACCAGGGGTCTGAGAGCAGCCTGGAGATGCAGGCCTCACAGTCACTGATCTCCTCACAGAACATGAAGCTTACCAACCTGAACCCCACCACCTCTAGTGGGGTGAGGCAGACTCAAGCCTGAAAGGACCACGTTGTGGGATATTGAGCAGTGGGCTTACCGAGTCGTTTCTGCCACATTTCCCAGGTGCATAAATTGCTTGGAGTACTGCAAACACCTCTGTCAACAGAAGCAAAACCAAACAAATACAGATGCACTCAGTGATCCTTTCACACAGACTCATGACTGGCACAGAGTTTTGAGGCTGATGATGATCTAATCTAAGAAAAGCCAAGAGTTTTCCCAAGTCACCCAAAAACATCCACTCTCCCACTCATTTAAGCCCAAAGCTGAGCACAGCATTTGTTTGAGCTGTTCTGTCCTATTACATTTTAATCACTTCATTTCTAGATATGAGCTTCACCCTATAGCTAGTCTTCATCGTTCAGGTATTATTTTCAAACTTGAGTACTCATATTTAATAGTGATAATTTGACCCAAGCCTCCAAGCACACCCTCTGACTTCAACTTGTAGGCAATGCAGCTCTGAAACCTTTCCCCTTTAGGACACATAAAATCAAAAGTATTTTAAAAGAAAAACAACTAAGACCTCACAGAAACAATGATGGGATTATTGATAAAACGCAGAGAAGTGTGAAAAACAACCCCAAAAACATTTCTAAAAAAGACCAGTCACCTCATGTTGGTCCTTCAGCAATTTTATGAGCTGTGCATATACTTCATCTGCTTTCTGAGACAGTCTGACATCTTCATGGTGTATGAAGATAAAATCACCCTCATCATCTGTAGGGGGTGATGGCAACTGCAACACAAGAACATCACATTTCAGAGCCCTTACAGGAAAAAATGAAACAGACAATAAACAGTCAATGTATGGAAAGGTCAGTCATGGCAGATGGCTTGGTTCCCTTCTCAAGGCAATTCCAGCCCAACCACTACTTACACCACTGCCTGACAACTGCTTAAGTCATAAAACTTATGTTTTGTGTCTTACAGGCCTAGTTCCCTGATTATTCAGGTCATGAGAGCTATTACAGTGCAGTCTGGTTTCCCTATCCACCCAAACACAGGGAAACCAGAGCACTCCTGTATCCCATGCACTGATCCCCACCCCAAAATGGAGTTAGGACAGGGCTGAGATGTACGCACACCCTAAGCCCAGGGAACACTTCCAAGCTGCATGGTTTAGATGTGCCATTGTAAACCAAAGACCAAATGGTTCATCAAGACTAAATCTTCTCAAAATCTAGCACATTTGAGGAGCAGCAGAGGAAATGAAACAAAGCAAAAACTAGAACAAAAATACAGGGGAATTTCAGGGCTCCGTATCCATATTTGTCACTTGACTAACTTAGCCTGAGTCAAGAAACATTTATTAAGTAATTCACTGTTTGAAGTAAGCACTTAAATATCCAAAAATATGAAACAAAGCAGAACACTAACAGTCCTACTAACCTTGGAAATATCAACAGGTTTCCCACATTTTGCTTGCTCAATCCTTAGGTCAAAGCTCTTAGCTGTTCTGAGGTACATCTTAGCCTGTTCAAGGTTATTTTCCTTCTTTGCCTTGACAGCTGCCTTCAGGTATTGCTTCCTTCTGTTCTCCAGAAATTCCAGCTGTTCCCTAGCTGAAAAACAGTTGTATAAAACCCCTCACTCAGCTGACACTGCCACGCCCCTGGAGCAGGTTTATCACGTTCAGTTCATAGACAGAAAAAGTTCAGTAAAAGTACAGATATCAAATAAGGACATTTCTTTACTGCACTTTGCTGTTTCTTGGCCAGTTTCAATTTCATGTATCAGAAAACCAAATAAACTTCCTTCTATCATGACATCCCTCACCAAAAAAGCTCACAGCACTTCCCAAGTGTCACACAGTAACTACAGCCCCTTGCCTGCAGGCAGGAGACAGGCTGCTGTACAGCTGATTTGGTCCAAAGCAAAACCTGAATTCAAACTTTCAGCTTGACATGTTAACTTCCAAGACAGCAAACAGCATGAACATCTTCTATACTAATTTCTTCCCACTCTCCTGATGTGTCAGAAGACAACCCAGACAAACCAATGTGCAGGCACACTCAGGCATATCACCTTTGCTTACCAGTAATTCCTTCCCACCTTATTTTTTATTCATTCTTGGGTCTCCTCTTTCCTTCCCAAAATGGTAAGGACAACTACACAAGGCAGAAAAGATCACTTTACACTGTACCAGGTCAGTGCAGCCTGCCTCTTTTTATACCTCACTTAGGAAATTGTCCAGTGTGAGCTGATTGCAGCCATTTCCAAAGATACTCATATTGTATTCACCACTGCACTCTGCTGATGATTACACGAGCTAAACAACTCTTGCAAGAGGTGCCTGTCTCAGCAAATAAATATACCAGTGACTACATACACTGCTGTCAGATGATGATCAGCTTATCCCCATTTTTGCAAAAGAGCCCACTGTCCTCCTGCCGTGACCAATTTGCCCAATCAGCCAAAACCAAACTAATTAGACAAGGTAGCTAGCCCAGATTTCACTGACACTAAACCTACAGTGGGCTCTGAGGCTGAGACACAGAGCACAGGTATTTCCAAAGAAAACCTGGAGAATGGACTAAGCAAAGCCATTAATCCAGCTGATCTTGGCTCCTTGACCTTCCTGGTATAGGCCTCAAGTGCAACTGCTCCACTCCCAAACTCTATGCCTTGTGCTCTCCATCAAGAAAAAGGTTTTGTTTTGGTTTGTTTTTTTTTTCAGTTGATTTATCAGGTACAGGCAGCTTGAAGCTGCACTTTGTAATTTTAGGGGGAAGGAGGTAAAAATTGGGTCACAGAATGCACTTTGACTAGTGAAATATAGCTTTACAATAGTGAAGTACTGACATTTTGTTGTGAAAATCATGTCACCATTAATCTGACCAGGTGCTTGTTGCACCTACTGGTCTTATTTTAAAATAGTTTAAGTATCCAGGAGAGATTACTGTAACACCAGAGACCAGGTATTATCAACTCCTTCACAGCATAACTCTAGGGCAATTTACTCAAGAGACTGATGCCAGCTAAAATTGAAACTCTTGAGGATTCATGGATCTTCAGAGCCAAAATGGACAATTATTGTGTTTTAGTGGTCTTTATAAAAGTAGTAATGGAAATTTCTAGAGGGAAGAGTTATGAGCTAATCACAGTGGCACTGTGAAACCCCTCTGCACTCTGCAAAAAACTTGCACCAGCCAGGGAGGCAGCTCTGATGTGTCCTGAGGGAGTGACCCAGGGTGGAACAGAAGGATGGGATCACAGTCCAGGCATGACAGCAGACTCAGTGAGAGCCTGAGCACTGCTGATGAGTGCCCAAGTCACATTCTGAGGGGCTGGCTGTCCCTTACTATCTGGACAATCCATCTTGTACAGACAATTGTTCAGCAACCTTGGCAACAGGAGGACTGGAGATTGATGGACTACTGTCCACATGCCAGTTTGAGATCCCTGGATGAAGCACCAGGCAGGAACCACTGTTTGATGTAGAAAGCTGCATTAGATCATTGAGTAATTCACACTGGCAAGCTGTCCACTTCAGCAGAGTGTAGGTAGAGTTCAGCTGTGAGCAGAGTTAAACATTATGAATCGATACACCCGTCACATCAGAATTAACTGAAAACCCAATCACACTCATAATTACCCATGCTGCCTCTGTGGAGTAAAGCTGCGTGGCTGGGCTGGCTCTGCCCTCCAGCAGACATGTTTCCTGCCAGAGGAAATCTACACCACACAGTCACAGGCTCAAAGCTACAACACAATGACAAGACATCTGTGCCACAGAATGAAACTGAACTCGTGTGAACGCCTTGCAACCCGGATCACTGGGAATGGTGATCCCTTCACCTTACCAGCTGGAGGGAGCTGATCCACTGCCTCTGCCTTGCCCAGAGTGGGGGGTGATGGGGCTGGTGTGCCCCGTTCAGGAGAGCTCTCCTCCTCAGAGACTGCAGCAGATGGCCCTGTAATTGGCTTAACGACCTGAGTCGGCTTTCCAGGCAGCTGAGCAGGCTTCTTGGCAACCGGGGCCTGCGTCACAGCTTCCTTCTAGCACAGCAAAAAGAATTCCATATTAAATGCAGAAAATCTATTCCAGAGCTGAGGACAGCATCTCATGCATCCACAAGCTTGGTTATCACTGGATCAGCCTTCTGATAGCACTTCTGAAGGGAGCATAACATTCCTGACAGCAAACTTTATCTTCTGGAGGTTTATGAGCCATGCCGTGCCAGTAGGCAGTTGACCTGTGCAAGTGCCAAACCTCCACTATAAAAGGGAGACAAGGAATTTTCAACAAGGCAGTGATTACAAATAAAGGAGATGCAGGCAGAAAAAACACACCATCCAGGAATTCCCTCCATTAAGAGCTACTCCAGTTAAAAGCACAATCAGCAACCAATTCCAGAGAGATAATGATATCAAACCAAAGTCTAAAGGCTGTTGCTGTCTGACAAAAAAACAGCAAGTGTTGGACATCCTAGGAAAGCACAAGCACAGAAGCTACTGGGATGTATGATGAGAGTACAGATTTGAGTACTTTACAAGGAAGTAAAGGAGTGTCCAGGATCTGAAGTGTTTGCTTTGAAAAGAAATCCAACATGCAAAACAGTCATGAAAGAGCCAAGCTCCGGACTCTCAGAATCTCTTGTTACTGACTGTAGTAACAACTCATCTCTCTCTCCTACACTACAATAGAAACTGAAGTTACTACTGAGTTCCTGTACTCTTCAGACTACTGGGAAATGTATTTCATCTCAGAACCATTGCTGGAGTGGAAACCCAATGGCCTTATCTCTGCATGCCACAACAGACACTATATTAGCGTCTACATGTCCTACCAAGAAATACTAACCTCCTCCTCTTCATCATTCTCCTCCATGTTTGCCAGCTTGCTGGCACTTTCCAAAACAGCAGCTATTGTACTGTCACCATCCACTGCTGCAACACCAGGAAGAGGGGGAAATCCTGAGGAAAAGAATACAGAAATAAAGTTGAATAAGACCTATGTTGGGTCTTTCATATTTCTTCTTTTCTGGAAAGCCATTTCTAATGCCAGTATCTGTTATCTAATATATTTCAAAATTCATCGTAACTAGACTGAGACAAAGGCCACAAAGCCTTGCTAGATAAAGTCTGAGTGGTGGAGTTAACATCTGATCTCTCAGCTATATCCAGGTTTAAAGGGACAATGCTAAAAGGATGCAATAACAGTTGGATATAGGATGCATAGTCTCCTAAGTTGAGCAACTGGCAGTGAGCCAAGGAACCTCAGAACCTCAAGACTTTGGCAACAGTGATGCCCCCAGAACCAGTAAAGAATGTAGACTCTCTCCTGCACAACAGGACAGTGGACTATACAAAAAATTGGTGGCTTTTCCCCCTCTCACTGCTGCTTCACCTCTGTGGGGACACAGTCCAGCAGACCTGTGCTACCCCACAGAGTCACAACCAACACACTGCTGACATCTGGGTACCACTAAACCTCTGCTGAAAGTCTACTGCAACACAGAGCACGCAAACTAAGGCAGACACAGCAGTTAAGTGTGAGCTATATGCAGAACAATGCTTTTCATTATTTTATTATCCTTTCAAGGATGAGAGGAAGGCTTGATGATGGAAGATAAACTCTCACTTCCATACTACCAGTTCAGTGTCAGCTTCAAACAATGAAGTCCCAGAGCTACTACTACACAATGTCTGTTACTAAGATTTATCTCATTAATATGTAGCAAGTATTCTTGTTGCAAATCTCATTAGAGGTGACAAGAAGACAAGAAATAAAGACTAAGCTTCTTCTAAACCTAGAGATGGCTGCTACAGAGACAGAACAGGTTTGAGGTACACATGCAGGCAGAACAGAGATTTCTGTGCCCCCATGGGACATTTGATCCATTACTCAGCAGCATTTCTATCCCCAGAGAGGTCCAGGCTGGTATTCATCATCATCCTGATGCTAAAAAATGCACTGCCAGGCCACTACAATCTCATGCCTGGTTTCAGTGACTTCCTGACGGTTGCCTTCAATGCACATCATATGACCTCTGAATGATGGCTGAAAAGCCTGCAGATAATGTCCAAGGGAACTGGGGAGTTAACCACATTGTCAGAGGTGTAAATATGGAGTACCTGACTCTTACAGGAACTGGGATCTACCAAGAAATGGATCAATTTCTAGAACAAAGGGTGCTAAACTGCTTTTCAGGGACAGCTTCAAAGCAGGGAACCTTCAAAGCAGTACACGACCTAACAGAGCTGGCACTGCCTACTTCACAACTACTACAGTCCTTGCCATTACCACATTTGACAACGACAGAAGAGCCACAAGATCCTTGTCCCTTTCTAACTTAAAAAATCCAGGAGCTGCTTTGCAGTGCTAGGTCTGTCTTCTCAGAAGAACACATCTGGCACAAGATAAAAGGGAATGGTGGGGAGATGATGGGAAATGTTTCTCTAGGGGAGAAACAGCATCATGCAAACCAGAAGCGGAGCACTCATACATGACTTTTCCCAAACTTTTAGACACACAACTACATTTTCTGGAGGAAAAAAAAAGGACACAATGTCTCAAGAAGCAAGTTCAGTTTCTGCTTCTGTCATTGTCACAGTGTGACCAAAGTTTACAGAGATGCAGCAAATCATGCCTATTTTTACTAGCCATGAGCTGCAATACTGATCTGGCCTGTGAGCTGCTGCAAGAAGATGGTTAATTGAATACAGAGTTCTGAGGCTCCTGCTGGGAATCAATAGAGTGTGGGACATCAGGTAAATTTTTTCAGTTTCAAAAATCTCCTTCCAGTAAACCAAGGAAACCAGTATATCTCATGTCCTCTTTCTTCTAGGAGGGCTGGTACAGATTACAGACAGGTAACTTTTTCAGCACCTGCCCATGGCTAAGTTGTTTGACTTTACAAATAGAGCCAGTTTTAAGTTCTGATGCTGTCAGACAGTGAAGAAGTCAGGAATATTCACCTGTTTGAGAATTTGGTAGCATATTAAAAAGCTGTTTCACAATACCATCAAAGAGTAAGGCCAGCCTACTACTGAGAAAAATGAGGAGCTGTTCCACACGATGAGGACACAATATCTGTACATGTCCTTCAGAGCTCAGTAGACATACAAAATTTGATACCAGGACATTTTATATTCACACTTACCAGGAGGAACAGGTAGCTCAGAAAAATTCACTTTTCTCCCAGCTTTATAGGCTTTTATGGCATCCTGGTATTGCTGTAATAAAAGGCACTCTGTAAGTCACGAATGGAAGCTGACTATAAACTAGCCATCCTTTCTATTTAACTGGCACAAATACTGCAGAATACACAGTATTTGGCTATAATATGCACATTGTCTCCAATTCTCCTCCCTCTGAATGCTTTACAGCTCGCCTACTGGAGCTCTTTTCAGACAGAAGGACAACACACAAACTCTTTGGGCTCTGAGGAGGCCCTTACCAAGAGAGCTGTGAGGGAAGCTGGGCTGGCTGCCCCGTGCCTTACCTTGGCGATCCTCTGGTGCATGCGGCTCTTGCGGGCGTCCCCGCTGGCC